GGGGGGGGGGGGGATGGAAAGGGCCCCTCTGCCTCTGTGTAGCTGTGGGAGGCAGCCATTGGACTCACGGCTCTCCTGCGGCCCCATGGCTCTAGGACTGCCAGACCCTCTTCAGACATCTTGGACTTGTATCAGAGCGGGTGATGTGTTGTCCAAATTATTAATCTAAGGGGAAGCATTTAAGCCTAGGGGAAGCCAAGCAGTGGCTTTAATAAGCCAGGTGGATGGGACAGATTGTGGGTGGGAAAGGAAAGGGCTGATCTGACAATCACTTGCGCTCCCCTTCCCCCATCACCTCACTGTGGCCTCAAAGCAGGTCCTGGTCCCCTGGCGTATACCGTGGCCACCTCCCTGTGTCCCCATGTCCATTTCCTCCTTCTCTTCCTTCTCGCAACAGAAGTGTAGCTCTTCTCTTGCGTCTTAATTCCCATGTCTCAGTGTCCCCTCTCCTATTCCACCTCAAACATGGGGCATGTACTGGAAGAAAGTGAGCAAAACAGCTGAGGATCTGTGTTCCTGCACTTGTTCAGAGCATCCCAAGTTCAGGATCCAGTCCCAGTGGAGGAAATTTAAGGGTACCCTGCCTCAGCTGGGAGCACATGGGAGCTCAGCCCCCGGTTGTCTTGTGTGCAACATGACCCTGAACATTCGTCAGAGCCTGAACATACTTCAACTCCCAGACATTTGCACCTATGGGAATTTTCATGAACTCTATAGTTTGTGTACATTGGGCCTGTCCCATGTGGTAAATACTTACCTAATTCTCAATTTTTCTTTGTATTTTCCCCTAAATAAATAAAGTTGAGGGGGGGAATTAAATTCAAGTCTCAACCCTGCCAAAACACAAAACTTCATAATATTTTGAAATATTTATTAATTTTTAAAATGTATGAATTTTATAAGTTTCAGTATATTTGTATCTCTAGGTTTTACTTATTTAGTCTGTTATGGTTTTATTAGTAGTTTAGTTCTTTAAATTTATTAAATTATTTTTATATTAAAAGATCAACAAAACTTGCCTGAACCCACTGTCTAGATCATTTCTGTTGACTTTTTTTAAAGTAATGTTTGTCCAAGGTTAAAAACTAAACAGGAAAGAGAAGTGCAAATGGAAACAGGATAGAAGGGTACAGAAGCCTGAAATGAACGGGAAACCTTTCATACTCTTTCCTCTCGCTCTAGATCCATCTCCCAGTGAAAACCACTGTTAACTATGCACCTATTAGCAAATAGATTTTTTTTAAAAGGCATTACAGCTATGTAGTATTCTAATGTATCATGCACCATAATTTATTCAACCCACACCCTGTTGATGGCATGTAGATGATCCCTCTTCATGTCTCTAGTTCCCAGTGCTGCAGTGGACATCATTGTAGGTTTAGCAACTACCACAGTGCAAATTCCTCGTGGCAGACAGGCCCTCTCTGAAGATTTTCCCTTTATTGTTTGCTAAGTTGAATGGATCTATGTGTCTCTTATAAATCTTAATATAGTAAGTATAATATAATATAGTTAGTACAATTCTTTGCATTTGTAGAACATTTTTTAGTCTATAAAAGGTTCTGGTATGTGATCATTTGCTTTCAGCAAGTGACATCATGTAGGTAGGTTTGCATATTCCCAGTGGTTCTCAGAGAGCCATTGCTGGGCCAGGAGCATCAAAACATCAGCTTCACAAGAGGAGTTTGTTAGAAGTGCGCATTCTCAGGCCTTGCCCCAGACCTGCTAAAGCACACACTTTGGGGGTGCCTAGCAGTCCACATCTTACCATGCCCTCAAGGTGATGCCGAGGCTGCTCAAGTCTGAGAACCAATGACTGGAGTGTATCATCTAATCCACTGCTAGTTCCTAAGAAGTAGGGGCTGGAGGGCCACCTGCTTTGACCTAGGACCTGATGCCTGACTTCCAGTCCTGGCACTGCTCCCATATGTAGAGTTGAGCTTCCTGGGCCTTGGCTGTTCCACCCTGAAAATGAAAAGATGTGAACTTTTTCCTGACTGGGATCAGACCCAGTCCCCTCCGTGTGCCTGTGGGTAACGCACCTAACTGGGCAAAGGGCATTTACTTTTGTGGCCTCTCCTAAGTAGCATCTGAGGAGTGAGGTATTAATTTATGCATGTCTGTAAAGGATTTTGGTCTTGTTTTCTGAGCTCACAGTAGGAAAATCGGGTGGGGGGAAGAAATGAAAGAAAGAAAATCAGCTGGAACGATTATTTAGCCAGTCAACCTTGCTTCTCATTTCAGGTGTCATCAGATGGATGATTTTGGGCCTGCCAAGAACCTCATGACCATGTGTTTCACTTACTACCACATTGGTAAGACATGGGGTCGTGGCGCATGTGGAGGGCAGACTTGGAAACTCAAGACTTGTCAACTTCTAACAAGGCATCAAATGAGGATTTCTTCCTGATTAAATGCAAACACAAAACAATGAAAACTGATGTTAGGGAGGAAATGAGCAAGGAGTGAGATTCCTAAAACAGGAGGAGACATTGTCTATATTGTGGGTCAAGTCATTGACTGTCCACAGTACAAAGGACACCACCCAGCTGATGGGAAGTGAGAAAATAAACACATTCAACAGGACATTTTGTGATAAGCACAGGGATTGCAGGATGTAAGGACATTAGTTTTAGGTTTTAGCAAAATATGCCACAGGCTTGGCTGTTGAAGGAATGTGAGAGGAGCAGTCTAGGATCCTAGCCTGGGAAGCATTCCCAGGTACAGGCTAGGGTGCCTTCATGAAGAGTGCAGACTTTTCCTTATGCTGAGGTTCTGACAGCTCTTCTGGCTCATTCCATTGGAACGTTCTGGTACGTTGGAACTTGAGGGTTCCCTGTCTTAAGCTGCTACAACAGAGTCTCATTCAGGCTACCATAAGGAGAAGGTTGCTGGGCCTGCACATGGACTAGAGCTGGGTCAGGGCAGTGCTAGCACTGGCCACCCTTTCCACCCTCTCTGTGTGACCCACGGGTTTGCTCTTGCGGAGTATCCCTGCCCTCTGCAACTTGGCCTTGTCCTCTCATTCCCAACAGCCATTCTTTCCATGCCCCTCAGTTCTGTTGGCAATAGCTGCTCTAACTGCCGAAACTTGGCCAGGCCATCACTGGGCAGGCTCTTGATGCTGGGCCACTTATCAGCTGCCTTTGGGTCAGATGGGAACCCCTTATCCAACTTATGGCTCCTCCTTCTCAAAGAACAACTAGATGTTGCTTATCTGAGTCAGATCTGTGTGCAGAGCAGCTTAAATTAGTAGGAGATACACAGTACCTTGGCCTATAGGGGCACCTTGGCCTGAAGGGATCACCTCTGACCTCTAGGGGGCATCTTGCCTAGGGGGGTGCTTTGACCTATAGAGGGGGTGACTTGACCTATAGGGGACACCTTGGCTTGTAGGGGGCCCTTTGCCCTATAGGAGAGGAAGTGCCTTGCCCTATAGGAGGCTCTTTAGCTTATAGGAGGCAACTTGGCCTGAAGGTCCATACACTGCCTTAGAAAGGGACATTCCTTGTGTTGCCTCCACTCACACTCCTTCTAGAATACCCTCCTCTTGCCATCTCCCTCATCCAACACCCTCCTGCTTCAGGCCCTGTCCAGACGCCATTGAGCCTGGCTGGAATCTGCACACCTCCTCCCACCACAAGGAAAGACTCTTTCCTCTGTCGTCCTCTAGCCCCTGGCCTCACGACCATGCTGGTTGCTTTGTCTTATGCTCTCACTCTGTGTGTACATTGCTCACCTCCTTTCTGGACTGCGTGCTTCTTTGGGGCTGGATCCTTGTCTGTTTCTTCTTTGGCCTCTGTGGCACCTGGCTGACTTCTTATACAGTCCATGCTCAGTGACCGCCCTGGGACAGAAGGGGCCCAGGCACCTCTCAGCTGTTAACTTCCCGCTGCCTGGTCAGGCCATTATGGATGGAGGTCTCCCTGCCACACCAGAGTGGCTCCAGCAGCTATGGGAGTTCCATTCCACCCTCTGTGGCTGCTGCTGCACAATATGGTTCTTACTCCCACTCTCTTCCCCGCTGTCTCTAGGTAAACCACACCTGCTCCCCTCAGAGTCCAAGGAGAAGCCTGCAGGGAGCATTGACTCCTACTTGAGGTCCGCCAACAGCTGGTTAGCAGAGAAGAAGGACATTGCCGAGCGGCTGCTGAAGAACACGTCGGCCAAGACCGAGAACGTCAAGGGCTTCTTCGGGGGGCTGGAGACCAAGCTGAAGGGACCCCTGGTCAGGAAAAATGAGTAAGTGTGACCTGCTGTGCGCCTCTGTCTCACAGGGGAGGGGCAGGCATGCAGGTTCAACAAGGAGCAGAAGTTAAGTTCAAGGTGAAGAGGCCCCGGCCTGGTAATGGAAGAACCTGTTCACACTTGGCAGTCTTTGGGGCCAGAGAGCTGCTCAGAGAAGTGCAGCTGCCAGCCCAGTTTGGCTCCTTGCCCCCCAGAGTTTTCTAGGGTTTCCAAATGCCATTCTGTTTGTTGACATGCAGCGATGTCCCCGTGGGTCCGTGTTTTCTGGACAAATGAGGAGCATATGGAAATTGTCAGTTGGCAGGAGGGAAATTACAAACCTCCCTCCTCTGACTCTTGTGGGAGCTTGTGTTAAAGCAATGACGACAAACTCCGGAAAACCTGTATCCCCAGGACAGCAGCTCTCCCACAGACACTCGGGACCCTTGTAACAGGCATGCAGGAGCTGAAACTTCCACAGAGAAGGGAGTACATCAGCAAGAGAGCTCTGGGCCTGGTGCCTATGCCAGCCTTTTGAAACAACTGAAAATTGACAAATGTAACGTGGGCCTGGTGCCTGTGCCAGCCACTCCGTGGGCCCCGCTGTCACCTCCAATGGCTTGGTTACAACCAGGTGACTTGGCTTTATTCCTCTTCTGGTCCACATAGTTTTGAATTCAGAGAAAGCAGCACAAAGACGCCTAAATTTGAAACGACTGACAATTGACAGATGTAGCATCAATTTAATAGAAATTTTTTAGGAAAAAACCCCACACGAAATGTGCACACTGGTTGTGAGACTGAATCCTGTTTCAGTGATGTAAAACAGTTTCTTTGAGCAAGTGTGGGGGTCACATTGTCACTGCTGTGGCTTCTCTCCCCCAGGGAGGATGAGAGCAAGCCCAAGGACAAGCCGCAGAAGACTGGTGAGTGCCTCCCAGCCACCCAGTCCCCGTAACCCGGGTCCCCACGGGAGTCTTCAACCAGCCCACCCTTAACTAGCAGCACCAACAAACAGGTCCCTAACTGTCCTCGGGCTCCACTGCCCTTGTGACTCCCCAGTTGCTCTCAGCTCCAGCCTGTTTTCTCACTGAACTTCTGCTGAAGAGCCACTTCTCTAGGGACAAGATGCAGGAACTAAGCTCCTCACCCTAGGGAGGTTCAGGGAAGCATCTCCAGGGGTGCAGGAGCCTTCCAGGGACCCCTCCCTCAGAAAGGATCGTTGCCAGGTGTGGGGAGAGTCGTTTCTGCCCACGGGCAGCAGTGAAGCTGTTCTGTTTCAACTGTGCGTTTCTATGGCCTTTGGGGAGAAGCAGTGGCTTCAGCAGCATTGCCATGGGGTTTGCCAACATGTGGGTGCAACTAGAGCCACTCTCAGTCTTTCTCACCCTCCTGCAGTGACTGTGTGCAGCCCAGAGGAGGAGAGGAAGGGGGAGAAGATCTACCTGTACACACACCTGAAACAGCAGCCCATCTGGTAAGACCCCCTCGCACCTGTGGGGCAGCAGCTGTGCGCCTTGGTCACCATCAGAAGTGAAGGTCGTTCACGCCCACTGGGATAGCCAAAGTAATACAGATGAACAGTAGCAGGGGTTGGTGGGATTGTCAGATGGGGCAGCCACTTTGGAAAACAGTCTGGCAGTTCCTCAGAAGGTTAAATATAGAGTTACGCTATGACCCAACCATTCCTCTCCTACAAATGTACTCAGAAGAATTGAAAACAGGTACTCAAGCAAAAAGTTGTGCCTATATGTTCATAATAGCATTATTCATAATAGCTGAATGGTAGAAACAATCTGAATGTCCATCTATATGGACACTTGATGTATGGGTACACAAACTGTGACATATCCATCCCACAGAATATTACCCAGCCATGTAAAGGAACTGATACCTGCTGTAGCATGGGGGACCCTGGAACACGTTTTGTTAAGTGAAAGAAGCCAGACTAAAAGATCACAGCATGTGATTTCATTTATATAAAATGTTCAGACAAATCCCTGGAGACAGAGTAGATTAGTGGTTGCCAGGGGCAGAGGGTATTGGGGAATGAGGAGTGACTGCTAATGGGTATGGGGTTTCTTTATGGGGTGATGAGAATATTTTGGGACTAGATGGTGATAGTTGCACCACTCTGTGAATATACTAGAAACCACTGAATTGCATGCTTTAAAAGAGTGAATTTTATGGTATGTGAATTATATCCCAATAAAACTATTTTATATGTATAAACATCAGGCTTGAAGTGGAAGGCCAGTGGTCTGGGGAAATCTTGCCCTCTTCTTGCTCTGTGGGTGACAACTTGTGCTGCTCTAATCCCTCCAAAGCCTCTCCATTGCCATATTTATTTACTCACAGTAGGCAATGTACTAGCACCTGGAACCCCAGGGGATCAGACTTGCTGCTCCCTCAGAAATCACAGTCGAGCTGAGGGAGCTGGGTCAGGTTCAAAAAGAAGCGGGAGAAGTGGAAGCTCCTGTCACACCTGTCCAGTGATTTTAGCTCAGCCCCCCTGGGCCTTGACTTGGGGGCTGCCTTATCACCTGCAACAGGGCAAAAGCCCTGAAGGGCCAGGTGGTGAATATTTTAGGCTATGCAGGAAACCCCTCAACTTTGCTGTTAGACAGTATATAAGTAAGTGGGTGGGTCTATGTTCCTGTAAACCTTGATTGACACAAACAGGCAGCGGTGGGATTTGGCCCACCCACCAAGTCCATGGTTTGCTGACCCTATCTTCTTTGAGAAGAATGCCCCTTACTGTGTGTCCCTATACACGTTTGCTCTGTGCACATGGCCTGTCCCTGGCAGGTCCCCATTTATGTTACTAGCACCTGTTCTAGAAAAGCAGATCTCTCTGAACCCCCTGCCTCCTCCTGGGACCCTCAATGGGAGATGGAGAAGCGGGAAAGGGCTCTGTCTACATCCTGCCTGTGGCGGCTTCAGCTTTGCCCTGAAGAATCCAGGGTTACCCAGCTCCACCTCTCCTTCCTGCCTGCACTTCCCCTGTGTGCCCATGATGCTTGGCTGGGAGCCGCAGGCTGGTATCTGACTTGGGATAAAGGCTCATGCTCGGTTCCTCTTCGCCCATCTCCCCGAGGCTTGCAGATCACCCAGAGGCAGCGGGGACTCCGCTTCCTTATCCCTCAAGTGGGCCGAGAGCTGCCTTTCTGTCCTCATTTGGAGACGACTGATGTGTGTCTCTGTCTCACAGGCATACGCTGAGGTTCTGGAATGCGGCCTTTTTCGATGCTGTCCATTGTGAGAGGAGAAAGCGGTCCCCCACCACCAGGTAGGAGCAAAGTCTGGGCCGGCGTTCCTCAGGGAAGAGGACCCGGGAGAGCTTGCTTTTCCTGTTTCTGAAGAGGAGACAGAAGAACGGCTGAGTCCATGCGTCTGTGTTTCTCCTTCAGCCCCTTCTGGCCTTGTGCCTTGCAGGCTGCCTGAAGGGTCCGGGCGCAGCGCATGGTGGGTGGGTGGGGTACTTGGCTTGCATGAGCTCTTCCTTCCTGTCCTGGGGCTCTGGCATGACTTGGCCTGACCCTCCTAAGAAATGCAGATTCCCTCTGAATGAAACCGTCAGGACCCCCTCTGACCCACTCTGCCTGTTCTCTGTAAGAAGTCCGAATCCTGAGCACGAACCACTGCCGCAGGATCTTGGGGTGCAGGGCTGGCCGCCACCCTAGACTTTAACATCTGGAGAAAGGCAGTTGCTTCTTTCAACTCGCTCTGGTTTGCAGCCTTTCACAGCTCCCCTGAGGGTGGTCTTGCCACTGGAGAAGACCCCTTGAGTGAACCCTTTCACAAAGCACGTGGCACGTCATGGCAGTGAGGGGTTGGCACTGATGCCATGGGGCTGGTGCTCAGTTCTCTCTCTGGTCACAGTGAGCTAAGGTTGCCACCCACTGCGTAAGCACTGGGCAGGATGGGCAGCAGCCCTGACAGCCTGGGGCGCCCTTACTGGCCCCACCAGTCCTGGGATTTTGAAGCCTCTGAACAAAATGAACCCCCTCTTCCCAACACCAGGGAAACCACTTAGCCTTTGTCCCTGGCAGGAGAGAGAAGATCCTGCTGTTTAAGTCTTCAGTCCACTAGCACGTGGGGGAATCTCAGGTGAAACCTTTCTGTTTGGGTGGCAACCAAACCCTAACGGGAGTGAGATGGCCTGCCTGTACCCTCAGCAGCCGGCTGTGGCTGCGTTTCCTGGGGAGGCAGAGGGAGCACATGGGAGGTTCAGGGGGAGGACGCTGGCACTCTCCCCAAGGACTCTAGAGAGAACTTGACACTCTGCCAGGAAACAAAACGGAAGGAAATGCTTAGATGCTTGTAGGTGAATGGGGTTCCTCTTGTTGCTCAGCTCTCAAACTCCTAGGAGACGGATGGATCTCGAATGGCCTGTCTCTCTCTGTCCCTCTCCATTTCTGCCCGTAATAACCCTCCTTCTTTCGCTTGTTCTCTTTTTCCATCCACGTATCTTGCATGACTTTGACATGTTCCTCTGTTGACCTGTTTCTGCTGCCGCTCCAGAGGGGATGCTGGAGAGGAGGAGAAGAAGAGGTGTGTGTCCACGTGACTTTGTTCATGTTCCAGTGCTGGGGGTCCCCTCCAGGGCCACCTGAGGGCGGGTGGGGGGGCAGAGCCCAGACACACGTGCCACCCAGCTCTGGCTGCCAGCAGTGAGGGTGTCCCTGGGAGGCAAGCCCAGCGCTGGGACAGGCTGGTGACGGGTGAGAGCTCTCCAAGGACAGAGCACCCCAAAATAGGAAACAAATGAGGCACCCCAGACCTCCCAGAAGGCCCAGTGGGAGTTCAGAGAGGAGAGAGCAGTGAAGTCCAGAAAGCTCTGATTTTGAACAAATTGAGCTCTCCACTCTGGCCCCTTCCAGGCTGACCTCAAAGCCCCACCTTGAGGCTTCACTGTGTCACACTGGGATCCTGACTTGGAAGCCGAGGGGATGCAGAGGATCTGTCTTTTTGCAGTCACACACTCAGGTGTGCAGGCATCTGCCAGACCCTCCCCACCATAACAGGTTGGGGAGTCACAGAGAAGGGACAGCTGCTCTCTCTCCTGCCTAATGGGGAGCCTGTATGTGTGCGGGGTACCCTGAAGAGAAATGCCTAGCCTGGGGCTGTTTCCTGGTAGCCCACAGTGGGGTCTGACTCAAATTGCTTGAACTTCATATTGGTGGACATCTTTTGTAATGTATTTTTAGACTTAAACGATCAAAGTATCGTTTCTGATTCAGTGACTCCGCACACACACACACACAACCCTGTGGAAATTTCCCAAAACATGCTTCCTTTAATCAGTGATATATTTTTAGTGCTATTGTTTTATGAGAAATCTTGTTTCTTATGCAGCCTTATTATGGCTCTAAAAGGGGCATTTAGGCATACCCAGTACCTCCTTTAATAGAAAGCCCCTAAATTCCCACGGTCTATCTGAGTGAGTGTGATTAACCAGCCTTCCTGGAGCAGGCTTCTTAACATCACAGCCAAGGCCCAAGGAGGTGGGAACATTGTGGCCTCCCAGCCGGTCAGTGCTGAGCCGGAGAGTGGAGGCCAGCCTCTGGGCCTTCCAGGCCTTCTCACCGGAACAGATGTGGTCTGACCATGCACATCTCGTACCTGCCCCCTAGGACACCCAAATGTGCCCCAGGCCTTACCCTGAAGAGGGGCAGGTGTTGCTTTGAGATTGGGGGCAAGAGGGTTGGCTCCGACTCCAGAGCAACCTTATGCCTCCAACATTATTTTTCCTTGTTGGTAAACTGCCAACAATGCCATTAGTGTCCTCTCTGTCTCAGAGGTGGGAACATCTCCATTTCAGAAGGCTTCCCGTTCTCCAGGCTGTGGGTCACATCCATCCCCCACTGCACAGTCTAGACACCTGTTCCTTCCTCTGGGAGTTTTAGACCTCGACTGGTATTGCGTGTTGGACAGTTTAAAGGAATTGATGTGATTCTAGGCATCACCTGAGCCACTGATGGCTAATGACTTCCACCTCTTTTTTCAGAGTCAGATTAAAGGTCCCAGGTCTGTTCCTAGTCACAGCCAAAGGAATCACCTCTCATCTGGGTCAGGAGGAGCGGGGTCAGGGCTGCTGTGCCGCATGATCCAAGGGGTCTGGGCTGTTTGTGCAGCCTGCACAGCTATACAGCAGGCCTGGTGGTAGTGCGGGGATCTGTGTGCCTGGACAGTCCTAGGGGTGACCACTGGGCAGAGGATGGCATTCTGGGTATCTTCATGGGTGTCCTGTCGTCGGCATGAGGAGACTGGGAACTACACTTGCCCTCTCCTCTGTCATGCCCCCGAGGTCCTGTGGCCTCCCGCTGAAGCTGGGGTGGCATCCGCGGGCCGGAGGGGAGAGGTGAAGTGTTGATGTTCTCGGTTCTGTTTCTCTTCCTCTGGCTTCTCCATTACCCCAGCCCCTCGTCCCTCATACTGCCTCCTCTTTCCCTTTTCTTTGATCTTTCTCTTAATCTCGTTTTAGTCACACTCATCATCCAGAGTTTAGTTTTTAGGGGGAAATAGGCTAAAATGAGCTTCTCGTCACCATCTGCATCTCCACACTTCTCAGAGGCAGGGAGCTCGGGAGCCAGAGTAGCACAGGGGTGGGCTGGTACCACTGGGGACAAGGGGAGGGGGAGACAGTCCACTGCAGCGAGCCAATGGGGACAGTTTTCATGCAGGGACACAGAATTAACATCACTCAAAGGAACACCCTCCCCTTCCCCACCCCTGTGCTGGCTAGCGTTTCTCCATGGAGAGCAGGCAGGCAGATTGGTTCTTCAGCCCCACCCGTGAGGCCACACACAGGCCGCATCCATCCTCCTGGGGCCTCACACCTTGTGTTAGAGGCTTTGTTCCATCCTCACGGTGGGCACAGGTTATGGTTCACTGGGACCCGAGGGGAGAACGTGAGTCTGGTCCATGTGCCCTGGGAGGGGTGTGGAGAGGCAGCGTCAGCTGTAAGGAAGCCAAGGGGGCGAAAGTGGCTGCAGAGCCCAGGCTGCCTGACCAGACAGTGTGGGCTTCAGGGCCCTGCAGCCTCCCTGCTCCCTGGGCCTCCCAGGCACTGGCACCCACAGCAGGCCGTCCCCTCACCGGCAGGCCAGAGCCACTGCAGCCAACAAGGCCTGGAGACGCAGCTTGAGTCTGAGAGCCTCCCCGCCAGTGTCTGGATGTCCTCTCCCCACGGGACGCCACAGGGTCCTTTCCTCTGCACGTCTCCCTGCCCATAAAATGGGGCCATGACTTCCCATCCTGGAACCAAAAAGAAGGACATGAGGGCTGGCATTCTTATCTCCTAGAGAATGTTCTAGGCAACCACTAGGTCCATGCCCCCTGAAGTTGGTAGAAAGTGGCTGAGCTTTTGGGCCTCCATCTCAGGAAGGCTGATTTAGATAGTGTGTATGTGGGCCCCTCGGGCAGAGTGGTGTGTCGCTGGCGGGCTTTGTGTCAAAGCAAAGTAAACAGCTCCTGTGTGAGGAAGGCCATGCTTGGGTACCGCTGATACCTGTAGGTCAGAGTGGGGGGGGGGGG